TTTATGCCTGGGGCCCGGAGTAAAACACTTTTACTTACCTGTTTCCCACTACCCCAGTGTTCAGTGCTCACCTCTTCCATTTGTGTCCTCAAGTCTAATACAGGTCTATGGAACCTACATTAGACGTGATGACATCAATGGTCCTTAGACCCCCAGAGCAAAGGGGAGCAGAGGCTGTGGGGGCCGGTCTAGCAACCCAGCGGGAGCCCAGATTAGGTAAGTAAAATGCTTCATACTTTTTTAATGTCCCCTAGGCATAAACAATCATTAGCTCCACTGCAGGGGTAGTTTTTTTGTTTGCCCAGGGATGGGCTTTAAGGTTTATTTTTATTTTCATCATTGCAGGGATAATAAAGAAAATAGGACCACGGCACTTGTTATTCTCCTGAACCTCTCATGTGTGTACAAGAAAGGACATTTCTTACACTTGGGAGGGGGTCACTTGGGAGGGGGTACTACAGGGAAACAAGGGCAAAAGGTAAACCAAGTGTGGATGAATGTAGAGTCCCTTACCTGGATCTGTGCTGCAGTTGACTCTGCACACAACCACCTCTATACTGTGTTGTCCTGTGTGCTCCTGGTTTAGGCCGATAACATTCTAACTGTCCAAAAAAAAACTAAGAAACAATTCATATTTTTGAACAGATTTCCGCAAAATACTCTTGCAGTTAAAAAGGTCGAACAGATAGTTCCTTTATCAGCAAAGTCAAAGCAACCCCAAGATTTCAGCCTGGGCCCCTTTGTTGAGCTGAGGATCATTTCTGAATATGAAGGCTTTTTATCTCTGCATGATTATAGGGTATCTATGGTCAAAAACTGAAAATAATTATGTGTTTCTATATTGCATTTCCATAAGACCGATTGTTTTTTGTTTTTCTTTTACTTTAAAAGACTTGAAGTGTGTGTAATATCAAAAGCTTTTTTTCTCGTTTTGGATATTGTGGGGTTGATTACAACCCCTATCGGGACTACTTTAGAAGGATTTAGGGTCCATTTCAACAGCTTTTGGACCTTGCCAATAGGGTTGCTTTTGACAGCAGTTTTAGCTGCTTCTGACATCATCCAGGATTCATTGGCAGGTGCATTTGTCCTTCAGTTGACCTCATTTTGCTTCAAGCTGCTTTTGCATTCCTATAGACGTTTATGGGGAGAAAAGTTGTTCTGACAACACAAGCCCCTCGCCACACTCCCTTACCATCACTTCCGGTCTTGCTGACAACAGTTAATCAGATAGATCGGTGAGGAATAATCTGTAACAGAAACACAGACATAAATAAAGATCTTACAAGGGTTCTACTCTTCTCCTGCTCTACTAGAAAAGGCATTTTTATTGCTGTCTGTGTTGCAGTTGAAGAGTTTCCTCACTTTCTGTCTGTTAAAACATGGTCAGCAGGAGAGCCCCAGAGAGCACTAAAAACTTCACAGGGGTTCTCACCTTTCCCTACTCTATACAAGTTAAGAAAGGTGGTTTTATATGTTAACAATTGAAAACCTGATTTTTACTTATTAATGAAATATTTTATATATTATTATTATCTGAAATATAAGTTCTTGCATATAACCACCCCACTGGGTTGGATTGTCAAACCTTTCTTTAATCAAAACTTTCTTTAAATTTTGGACAGCG